TCACAGGTCAAAATTATAACTTTTAATATCTCATAAACCAAAGCAGCACAAACGAAAATTTTAACGGCACAAACCAGCACTAACGGAGCACTAACCATTCAGACTAGTTGCTTTAATTTTGGAAGTGGGTGGGGTGTCAGCTTCACTCAGCTTGGTGGCCGGGCTTTAATCCATGGAGCTTGGCCGGGCACAGCCCGAAGAGGAGACGTGGGTCCCCCTTCCCATGGACTCACCACCTGCGGGAGGGGCCAAAGGAGTCGGGTGCAATGTGGGATGGGTGGTGGCCGAGGGCGGGGACCCTGGCGGTCTGATCCTCGGCTACAGAAGCTGGCTACTGGGACGTGAAATGTCACCTCACTGGTGGGGAAGGAGACTGAGCTGGTGTGTGAGGCTGAGAGGTTCCGGCTAGAAAAAGTCAGACTCACCTCTACGCATGGCTCCGGCTCTGGAACCAGTTCCTTGAGAGGGGTTGGACACTCTTCCACTCTGGAGTTGCCCCTGGTGAGAGGCGCCGAGCAGGAGTGGACATACTTGTTGCCTTCCATCTTGTGCCTGTATGTTGAGGTTCACCCCGGTGAACGAGAGTAGCCATGTTCTGTGCCTCTATTGTCGAGGCGGCTTATCGGAGCTGCAGCCGCAAGGTTGTCGTGCCTGTCATGGCGGCAACCCTTGAACCTGATAGTGGACACCGTCAGTGAGGGATGCTGTCAGGCTGAAGAAGGAGTCCTATCAGGCCTTTTTGGCCTGTGGGACCCCGGAAGCAACTGATGGGTACCGGCAGTCCAAGCGACATGCGGCTCGAGTGGTCGCTGAGGCAAAAACTCGGGCATGGGAGGAATTCGGAGAGGCCACACGGCTTTGAGACAATTCTGGTCCACCATCCGGCTTCTTGGGGGGGGGGGGGGGAGCGGTACACCACCAACACTGTTTATAGTGGGGGTGGTGTGCTGCTGACCTCCACTTGGGAAGTCGTGGGTCGGTGGGCAGAATACTTTGAAGACCTCCTCAATCCCACCGGCACGTCTTCCACTGAAGAAGCGGAGCCTGGGGACTCTGGGTCGGGCCCTCCAATCTCTGGTGCTGAGGTCACCGAGGTGGTTAAAAAGCTTCTCGGTGGCAGGGCCCCAGGGGTGGATGAGATTCACCCGGAGTTCCTTAAGGCTTTGGATGTTGTAGGGTTGTGTTGGCTTACGCGACTTTGCAATATTGCGTGGACATCGGGGGAAGTTCCCCTGGATTGGCAGACTGGGGTGGTGGTCCCCCTATTCAAAAAGGGGGGCTGTAGAGTGTGTTCCAACTACAGGGGGATCACGCTCTTAAGCCTCCCTGGTAAGGTCTATTTGGGGGTTCTGGAGAGGAGGGTCTGTCGGATAGTCGAACCTCGGATTCAGGAGGAGCAGTGCGGTTTTTGTCCTGGAACACTAGACCACCTCTATACTCTCAGCAGGGTCGTGGAGGGTGCGTGGGAGTTTGCCCAACTGGTCTACTTGTGCTTTGTGGACTTGGAGAAGGCGTTCGACCATGTCCCTTGGGGAACCCTGTGGGAGGTACTCTGGGAGTATGGGGTACCGGGCCCTTTGATATGGGCTGTTAGGTCCCTGTATGACCGGTGTCAGAGCCTGTTTCACATTGCCGGCAGTAAGTCGGGCTTGTTCTCGGTGAGAGTTTGACTCCGCCAAGGTTGCCCTTTGTCGCCGATTCTGTTCATAACTTTTATGGACAGAATTTCCAGGCACAGCCAAGGTGTTGAAGGGATCTGTTTTGGTGGCCTTAGGATTGCGTCTCTGCTTTTTGCAGATGATGTGGTCCTGTTGGCTTCATCAGATCGTGATCTACAGCTTTCGCTGGAGCGTTTCGCAGCCGAGTGCGACACGGCCGGGATGAGGATCAGTTCCTCCAAATCCGAGGCCATGGTCTTGAGCCGTAAAAGGGTAGAGTGCCCTCTCCGTGTCAGGGAGGAGGTCCTGCCCCAAGTGGAGGAGTTCAAGTATCTTGGGGTGTTGTTCACGAATGAGGGAAAAATGGAGCGGAAGATCGATAGGCAGATCGGTGCAGCGTCTGCAGTGAGGCGGGCGCTGTACAGGTCTGTCGTGGTGAAGGGAGAGCTGAGTCAATAGGCGAAGCTCTCAATTTACCGATCGATCTACGTTCCTACCCTCATCTATGGTCACGAGCTTTGGGTTGTGACCGAAAGAACGAGATCTCGGATACAAACGGCCGAAATGAGTTTTCTCCGCAGGGTGTCTGGGCTCTCCCTTACAGATAGGGTGAGAATCATCATCCGGGAGTGACTCAGAGTAGAACCACTGCTTCTCCACTTCGAGAGGAGCCAGTTGAGGTGGCTCGGGCATCTGTTTAGGATGCCTCCTGGACGCCTCCCTGGTCAAGTGTTCCGGACACGTCCCACCGGGAGGAGACTCAGAGGAAGACCCAGGACACGCTGGAGGGACTATGTTTCTTGGCTGGCCTGGGAACGCCTTGGGATTCCCCCGGAGGAGCTGGACCAAGTGGCTGGGGAGAGGGAAGTCTGGGCTTCCCTACTTAGGCTGCTACCCCCACAACCCAACCCCGGATAAGCAAAAGAAAATGGATGGATGGATGGATCATTAGGTACACGCACTGATTAAAGTCAAACTGTTTCAACAGTTTATGAAGGCCACACGGCAGATTTCTGTATTTAAAGATTAAAATTAGTTAGTGCATGTTAGTGCCACAGATGCCAAACTTTTGTCTGTAACTTTGCTTTTTTAAGGTTGTGGTATTGCACTTGAACAACAATCTCTATTTTTCTAGCTGGAGAGCAATCATTGACCACCTGATGACTCACGACAAGACCACGTTCAGAGACATGATGAGTACGCTCCACTTTTTATTTCTGTTTCAGTTATAAATAGTTCGTACGTCACCACTGACTTTCTGCCTACATTTACTGGGTTCAGTTGTTTTTTATAATCGAATGAGTCGTTTGTAACAGATTTAAACCTGCGTGCAGGAAGCTAGTGTCGATGTCTGCGTGTGTTTGTTTCAGCTCGCGTTGCCGTCGCTCAGAGCAGCTCTCTGAGTCTGTTCACCAACAGGGATGCTGAGCTGGAGCAGAGGGCCATGCTGCTCAAACGTCTGGCCTTCACCGTCTACAGCAGTGAGGTGGACCAGTACCAGAAGTACCTGCCGGACATCCAAGGTAAACACGGAGCTGAGCATCGGCACCACATCATGCTTCTGTCCAGCCTTATGACCTGACGATGTCCTCACATGGGTTTTACGTCATGTGTTGCCATGGTGATAAAGCAGGTGTGTGTCTGTGTGTGCAGAGCGTCTGGTGGAGAGCTTGCGACTGCCCCAGGTGCCCATCCTTCATGCTCAGGTGTTTCTTTTCTTCAGAGTTCTGCTCTTGCGTATGTCACCTCAGCACCTCACTTCCCTTTGGCCCACTATGATCACTGAGCTGGTGAGCACCAGTTGCTGCACACAAGCACATCTTCTTGTTCTTATGATTTTCTGCTCCCTGTCTATATGAAAGTTACAGGTTGTCTAAAAAAAAACTCTCATTACACGTTTTTTTTGTAGGTTCAAGTGTTTCTGCTGATGGAGCAGGAGCTAACAGCAGATGAGGACATAACGAGGTACACTACACCCTGGCTCGCAATACTATATGAAGTGGCTCACAGATTTCTCTGTTCTTCTGTCATGATTTTTACTACTTGATCTCCTTCAGGACATCGGGGCCATCAGTTGCTGGGCTAGAGACAACCTATTCTGGAGGAAACGGCTTCTCCACTTCCTACAACAGCCAGCGCTGGCTCAACCTCTACCTCTCTGCCTGCAAGTTCCTGGATCTGGCCCTGGCCCTGCCTCCTGAGAGCCTGCCTCAGTTCCAGATGTCAGTGCAGATAAACCTGGGTCACAGTAAGCTTTGCATTAGAGACGAGTCAGACAGAATACATGAAGATGCCTCGTCTGATCGTTTTAGGTACCGCTGGGCCTTCATTCCCGAGGCTTCTGATGATTCAGGGTTGGAGGTGAGACGTCAGGGGACTCATCAGAGGGAGTTTAAGCCATACGTGGTTCGTCTGGTGAAGCTGCTGAGGAAACGAGCCAAGGTATCTGCCCAGCTGTACATGCCATGCAAATGATGGAGAAAAGTAAAGTTCTTAAAGGGATCTCTGACTAGTTGGAACAATAGACATTATCTGATAAACAATTATTTCAGCTTTTCTTCTTACTTCAGCTATAAAAACAAGACTGTAAAAGTACTTTAGACTCTTAAATATTTACAATAAAAAATTTAAATTAAAAACAGACTGACGTTACCATTTTATTTACACTGCAATGCATTCTGGGTAAATGATGTGGACAAGTTGCTCCAGTGCAAGCTCCATTCAGCTTTAATATTAATTTTGCACATTATCTTCTGTACAGCCCTTAATTTGAACCGGAACGCATTGACAGAGAGCAGAATGCAGAAATGACTGCTTTCATGTTAGCGCCACAGCTAATATATGACAGTAGCCCCCATAGCTAATATATAAGATGCTAGCTCCAGAGCTAATATATGAATTACATTCACTTCAGAGCTAATATATATGATGTTGACGCCAGAGCTAATATATAAATTATATTAGCTCAAGAGCTAATATATATGATGTTAGCTCCAGATCCAATATATATGTCATTTGCTCTCGAACAATTAAATTAAAAGTCACAAGTTGATCACATTTGATCATTTTGACCCATATATTGTGCATAAGGAATAAGTCAAGTCAAGTCATGTCAGATTTATTTATAGAGCACATTTAAAACAGAAACTGTTACCGAAGTGCTTAACAAAAATATCACATCATCAGATAAAAAGTAGCAAGATATATTTACAGCACATGGAATAAAAATATAAAACCAAAAACAATTAGAAACAATGAAATACTAAATCAGATCACGTTGTGTCATAAGTCAAGGAAATAATAACAAAAAGCATAAACTCAGTCAGAAACAATGAAATACTAAATCAGATCAGATGACCTTGTGTTAAATAGGAATAATAACAAAAGCATAAACAGAATCAGCATCAATGAAAAACCAGATCTAAAGCTGATCACCCTGTGTTAAATGTCAATGAGTATAAATGTGTTTTTAGGAGAGATTTAAAGGCAGAGACTGAGGTGGCCTGTCGAATGTTGATGGGCAGATTGTTCCAGAGTTTAGGGCCCACGACTGAGAACGCTCGATCTCCTCTGAGCTTCAGCCTGGTTTTTGGTACGGCCAAAAGCAGCTGGTCTGATGATCTCAAAGCCCGAGAAGGAGTATAAGGATGAAGAAGGTCGGAGAGGTATGATGGTGCAAGGCCGTTAATGCACTTGAATGTCAGCAGGAGAATTTTAAAATCAACTCTGACACGTACAGGAAGCCAGTGAAGAGAGGATAGAACCGGAGTAATGTGCTCAAACCTGTGAGTTCCTGTTAAAAGCCGAGCTGCAGCATTTTGTACGAGCTGGAGACGTGAGAGTGAAGCCTGACTAACTCCAACATAAAGTGAGTTACAGTAGTCCAGCCGGGTTGTAATAAATGCATGGACTAGTTTTTCAAGGTCAGATCTGGACAGAACGGACTTAAGTTTTGCTACTTGCCTTAGCTGAAAGAAGCTCTTTTGTAGAACAGAGTTGATCTGTTTATTAAACTTAAAGTCAGAGTCTAACACTACCCCGAGATTGGTAACCGACTGCTTTAGATGTGGCTGAAGGGAGTGCAGGTTTACAGGATCAGTGACAGTGGCAGAGCTTGGGTTAAACACAATGACCTCAGTCTTCTGATCATTAAAACTCAAGAAGTTTGCAGCCATCCAAGTCTTAATGTCATCAAGACATTTTAGCAAAGGGAGGATGGAGCAAGAACTGTTTGGTTTTAAAGGTAGATCTGAGAGTCATTGGCGTAACAGTGAAACGAAATACCATGTTTCCTCAGGATTGACCCCAAGGGGAGCAGATACAATGAGAACAGAAGGGGTCCAAGAATGGAGCCTTGTGGGACCCCACAGGAAAGAGGGACAGAAGCAGATAAATGATTGCCAAAGTTAACACAAAAACTCCTGTCACCCAGATAAGAACGGAACCATTCTAGCGCCACCCCTGTAATCCCAACCCAGTGTTCTAGCCGTGACATAAGGATGCTGTGATCAACAGTGTCAAATGCAGCGGTAAGGTCGAGGAGTACCAGGATCACAGACTGACCAGAGTCATTCGCTAGCAGAATGTCATTACAGACCCTTACTAAAGCTGTCTCGGTAATAATACAACATGTATCTTATGCCACTTTATAGCTTTAACTTCTTGTGTTTTAGTCTCCACTACAACCTGTCTATCATTGCCCCAGATTGCATTGCACCAGTAAAATAATGGTGCCTTCCTTAGGTGAAAAACATAATAAACATTTATAATTATTTACGTAATTAGGAGTTTTCATGTGTTATAAACAACTTTTAGTAGCATAGAGAAATGACAGCAAGGCCAATATGTGCACGTAGTCAGAGATCCATTTAATAACTCCTCCTGCCAAATGAGTTTATGACTCCTTTCCATCCTTACAGAAAAACCCCGAGGAGGACTGCTCCACTCGAACCCTGTCCTGGGAGCCGGGTCACCTGATGCTGACCCTTTACGTTATCCGCAGCATGGAGCAGCTGTTGCCCTTCTTCAACCTGCTCAGCCAGGTGTTCAACAGCAAGGCCAGCTGTCGCTCGGGCGTGGCCTACCCCCTCAGTCCCATAGATTCCTCCTTCCACAGCCACAAGGACGGACACAAACTGGAGAGCCAAAAGGTGTTCTGGAGTCGAGCTCGGCAGAACATCGAGGAAATGGTGGAGAAAGACTTCCTAGAGGGCCTAATCAAGACGTGAGAGCAGAGCATCAACAAAGAGCTGACCACTTGTGAAAAACCTCAACCTGTACATTCAAGAACAATATGGGGATATAAATTTGTAAAATAAGTTGTATTTATACTGTTTATTTCACTTCACTTTGAGAAGTTACTGTATTTAATTTTATTTGTATATATGGAGCAGCTTTGCTGGGTTTTAACATTTCATGTGATTCCTTTGAAACAGAGTGAAATGCTGTGCCATTCCTGTGTCATGTGACTTAATAAAACTGTTTTCTAACGACAGAGTTGGACGGGTCCATTGCTGCCTTCAGGACATCTCATTGTGCTGTAATATACTGTAGATGTGACCAGCTCGTTAAAATGGAGCACGTTTAGCATCTGGCACCAGAACAAAAACTAATCATTCTCTGGATTTATTTTGTAGTTCAACACATTGTCTTAAGTAAATTCAACATGTTTTAGGACAGGAGTTCCCAAACGTTTCCATGCCATGGCCCCCCCAAACAGCATTAGCTTCTGGCCGAGGCCCCTCTCTCAAACCCACAAACAATGCTACAAAATATGTAAAGAAACTTCAACTTTTAGAATGTTTGAACTTTTATTCACTATATTCTATTAATTATTACAGCTGCTGAGCATAAAAATGTTATTAACATGTTTTAAACACTGTATTATATATTATATTATATTATGTATTATATTCCCACTCAAGTGGCGCTGAAGTTTCGAAGGTTTTAAACACTCGTTAGTGAATGTCTCCAGACAGAGGACACATTTTGGACAATCACGGCCATTTTTCTGTATGACCATAAAGCATAATGAATGCTTCCTCATACCTTTAAATTTTAGCTGGCCACGAGGTGTTTGTTTATTTTTTGCAGCAGTTTCCACCACAGCTGGGCTGCTGGTCAGCTCCTTTGGTATTTTTAGAAACTTCTCCATTTCATCCTTGCTGTGCTTGAAGAGTAAAGCAGCTTGATACATTTGACTGGCAGCCAATCAGAAAGATGAGCATGGGGAAAATTTTTTAATATTATTAAATATATTTTAAAATAATTACTGAAAATATAGTAATTTTTTTTTAAATTAACATTTTAATGTAAACTTATTTTTTGTATTTTTTTGTTGTTGCTTTTTAAAAAAATCTTCTTCTCTCCAGCTTTCTGAGGCTACCCTAGCGCCCCCACTTTGAAAAACACTGTCTTGTCTAGTATGGATGTTTTATGTGCATACTGAAACAAGTTGGGGATAAAAATAAAAAAAAGATTCTTGAACTTGAACAACCTTTGATTTGTTACTAGATGCATAGTCTTGAAATAGCCTTTAGAAGTTCACTGATGAAAACCAATGTTTGAAGTTATAGTTCCACGTTTTTTCATTCATTCAACCTTTATTTAGGCAGGTTAATCCCATTGAGCCTCGAGGACTCATTGACAAGAGACTTGGTTTCAACAAAGTTTGTTTTTATATGTAGGAAACAATATGAAACAAACATGGCATGAACGTTTTATTAATTTTTTTATTACTGATATTTATTTATAAATTAATTAGGCCCTACAGACAGATTTGTAAGCACTGGAAGTTCTGCTGAACTGGAACTGGTTTCCTTTTTCCTTTGACAATATTTATACATTTTTTTATTTTGTTCCCTTTTTGGTAAAACTGTAATAATAATAATAATAATAATAATAATAATAATAGCAATAACCTTTATTTTACCAGGTAGGTCAACTGAAAAGCAGTTCTCATTTCCATTGATGAATCCACTGCATGTCTCAACATTATAGGTGGAAAAAATTTGGTTAAATCATAGAGCATGAAATAAAAAATTAAAAGTCACACGTCTCTATAAAATATTGGGAGTTTCATTGTATTGATGATTTTATTTATTTGTGATTATCTTTTACCCAGTAGCCCACTTCTGAATAGTACTTTTCCAGTTATTTTAAGTGAAGGCTCCTCAGGACGGTATAAAGGAACATATTCACATTCGAGGAAACTCGTTGCTCTTCGAGGGCAAAAAAATGCAGTGATTTCAAACTCAGTGAATAATTGTTTTAAATATTCATGACTATAATATTGATCAAAATAATTGTGATTATCATTATTTCCATAATTGAACAGCCTTATGCAATAAATACCTGATAATGGGTTTACAAAGAATACATATGTTTGTGGTTAAAATGCTGGTGACATGCCGTTACATCCACTCACTGTTTTTTTAAGAAGTGTAATTAACAACAGACCTTATTGCAATCCATTTCTACCCAAAGCGGTTGTTAACTTTTGTCGGCTGTCACTGACCTGCTGCGTCCTTGATTCTTGGGGAAGATGCGAATGGTTTTGTCAAAACTGGCCGACACAAACTCCTGTCCGGTGGGAGAGTAATCAACATCCAGTACTGCAGAGACGTGGTCCATATGTATCTTTGTGGGCTTTTCAAG